ATTCCTAGTCGACAACCTCTCAATCCTGGCTCCTCTGGGAAAAAGCGATCATGCCGTCATAGCCTTCAGTTTTGTCATCAAAACTAAGCTAAGGTATCCCAACAATAATTTGCGATGGAATTTTAAACGGCTGAATGTGCGAGCTCTACATGACCATCTACAACAGGTGGTTTGGGATGTTCACCCTCAAATCGATGTGGATGGTCATTGGGACTTCTTGCTGCACACGCTCTTATGTGCTACAGACCATTCAGTTCCTCAAACGGTTCCCAAAAGCTTCAAGCCACCTACAGTAATCAAGAACCGTACCCTTCGCCTCCTAAGCCGCAAACGGCACTGTTGGGCGGAATACAAACGAACTAATAACGATGGAGCGTATAGGCAATACAAACATATCAGGAACACATGCACGAAGGCTATAAGAGAAGACAGGCTTCAGTACCAAACAAAGCTTATGGACAAATTCGCCTCTAACCCTAGAAGCCTATTCCGTTATGCAGCCTCTCTTCGTCAAGCCAAAACAGGAGTTTCTCAACTGCTAGGTCCTAACGGCCCGACCAACAACGATGGCGACGCCGCTAACCTTCTGGCGGCCCATTACTCTCAAACATTTCAACCGGCTGATATCAACTTTACTCATGACAGTTTCATCTGCAATTCCACAGGACTTTCTGAAGTGGACCTAAGCGCTGACTTGGTGTTCCGGAAACTGCAGCACTTAAGACTTGACACTTCTCCTGGCCCGGATATGGTTCATCCTGCCATACTGAGGGAGGCAGCCTCAATCCTGGCAACGCCGCTTAGCGTGATGTTTTCACACTCGCTTAGCCGAGGCAAACTACCGGAAAATTGGAAGTTGGCTCACATCACACCAATTTTCAAAGGTGGTCGACGCAATGAACCTTCAAGTTACCGGCCGGTAGCTCTTCTGTCGTTACCTTCAAAACTCATGGAGTCCCTGATATGCGACGGTTTAAATGACTACCTACTGTCCTTAAATTTCTTCTCACCCCAACAGCATGGTTTCAGGAAGGGTTACTCTTGTATAACCAACCTGCTGACTGCGGTGGACAGATGGACAAGCATCCTCGATCGCAAGGGAAAGGTTGATGTCATTTACCTTGATTTCTCAAAAGCTTTTGATAAGGTTAACCACTTGTGTCTTATCAACAAGCTCAAACGACTAGGTATCAAACCACCTCTAATCGACTGGCTTACTTCATACCTAAAAAATCGACACTTTAAGGTTAGGGTTAATTTCACTTTATCTCAAGCTATGGAATGTCCTAGTGGGGTCCCCCAGGGCTCAGTACTAGGGCCTCTTCTCTTCTTGATCTACATAAATGATCTTCCTCAACAGGTAACGTCAGACTTATTACTTTTTGCCGACGACGTGAAACTTTGGAGAGAGATACGCAACCAAGACGATACACAGGCACTTCAAGAGGATCTGACTCGACTTCAAAGTTGGGCAGACGATAACGGACTTACCTTTAACACTTCTAAGTGTAAAGTAGTCCATCTGCGACATGTCGCAAACTACAGTTACAACTTAGGAAACTCCTCTCTAGTAGTATCCCAAGTCGAAAAAGATTTAGGAGTCCTGGTGCCCCATGACTTAAAGTCTTACGCTAATTGTGACAAAAATGCCTTCCGAGCAAACCTTGCACTGGTAACGTTGAGGCGCATTTTTGGTCAGTTTGACGGAAGAACTTTCCACACAATCTTCAATAGTTTCATCCGTCCCCATTTAGAGTACGGAAACATAGTACTCCCCCCTCACTCCAAAAGGATAAGGTCACTTTGGAGCGTATCCAACGGCGAGCCACGAAATCAGTTCGAGGACTCAAATCTAAGCCTTACGAAGAACGCCTCCGTTCACTAGACCTTTACCCACTAGAATATAGGCGTCTTAGAGGTGATTTATTAATGGCTTATAGTATTCTTAACACTTCTGGACATCCTCTTAAACACCTACTTAAGCTTAGTTCGAACAATAACCTAAGGGGTAACACCCAGAAACTGGAAACACAACATAGCAAGACGGAATGTAGACACAACTTCTACTCCTTAAGAGTTGTCAAAAGCTGGAACTCGCTGCCGGCCGAGCTAGTCCAAGCGACTTCTCAGGAGTCCTTCAAGAGGCAACTTGACCTACTGTTAAGAACCAAGAACAGCATCACACTATGATTTACCAATTTCTTTTCCTCTTTTATTGTTAACATACCTAGGTTCCTGACTGGAGGACTTGGTGATCCCCTGCTACTAGACACGGAAGCCTGTTAAGCGAAAGCTTCTTCTATTCCGTCCACAACCATTTGAACCATTTGAATCTTGGATATGAGCGGCTGATTTAAGTCCAAGGTCCAACGACAGCGGTTCAAGGGCAACTACACTGTGGTATCGCGACGCTTCTTTGCGCCGCTTCTTTGCACCGCTTCTTTATTTCTGCTTTGTGCACATCAAAAATTCAAAATTAATTATAAATAAATCTGAAAAATTGGTGGTTTTAGACTCAACTTAGGGATTTAGCAAACGGAACTAAGATTTAGAACTGTTTAAATCCCTACAACACCTTAGTAAGAGCTTTCCTCTGTTCTTCACAAAAGTCACCTCGAGTTTTGTTATCTTTTGTTATGATTGACATTGTTGTATATTTAATGCCGTCGGTGTAAGCTTTGTGTATGATTGTTTACTCTCTTGAAACCTGGTTCTTTAGATAAAACGTATTAAAAAAGGTATTTGAATATATTGGTTATCCACATAACATGACTTTATTATTATTTGTACTAACACTGCAGTATAATTATGAAATGAAGAACAGCTGTTTTTTTATGAACTTATCGAGAGGCGATGAGACTATAATTTATGGACGACCTTTGAGCGACATTGAAGTGACCTTGAGGACGGATACCTACTAATTAGGACAAAATGAGATTTCTAAACTAGTTGGAATTATGATTTACGGTTGATAGTTAAGGTTAAAAATTAGATTTAGGGTTTTTGTCACGAAATGACATAAGCTATAGTGCCAAAACTCTATTTAGCCAAATGGATGAATGAATTTCGCTCCATAATTTATTACTCTTTATCTTATATCTAATTGATTCGTCCATGAATTATAGTCGCCCCAGACGCTTGTTGAGATGAACAAAGATGTTAGTCAGATTACTTCAGAAATTTGGAATTTGTTCGTAAAAGACGTGCATAAGCTATACAATATCGGTCACATATGTCTTAGAAACATCCCTCATATCTGATGGAACCACGGAGTTACTTATGTCGGGATGTGGATAAAGGTACTGTTTAGAGTCAACGACCCGATTAATCATGCTGCGGAACTTAATTGACTCATATGTTTAAGATGTGCGTTACACATTCCTCATGACCGCCTACCCTAATGTGTAATATCATTTAACGTTCATATTGGTCAGGTAAGGTACATAGTTACGATCTTAAAACAATTCTTATAGATCATACCTTGTTCTAAATTACTTACTCAGAAATTGTTTTTTGTTCAATCAATTTATAAGATTTTTTGTTAGCACTTTCTACATATTTTTCACTTAGGCAGTTGAGTTATTTTAAGGCAATTTACTGGTGTTCTTGTTAGAATTTCCTAAGAATAGAATGGAATAGGATACTAGTCGAGTCAGAGCTTATGGCGAACTGTCATAGATGACAGTAACTACTTTTGCAACCTCAAGTGATGTCCGTCAAGGTTGTCCACTTTCTCCATTTTTGTTTAACTTCATCATAGATCTACTGATGGAAATAACATTCTCGTCGACTGAATTCTCGGGTATTGATCTCCTACCAGGAGGTCCACTTATCGACTTAGAATATGCAGATGACATAGTCCTGTTTGGTGAAGACGCTGACAAAATGCAGAGTCTTCTGGTAGCACTAAGTAACAATGCCAGAATGTTTGGAATGCGCTTCTCTCCCTCTACTAAATGCAAGTTGTTGCTTCACGACTGGCCTGCGTCAACACCTGAACTAAGGATAGGGAGTGAAGTAGTCGAACGCGTTGACAATTTCACTTATCTTGGAAGTCTGATCAGCCCTAATGGGTTGGTATCGGACGAAATGTCAGCACGGATTCGAAAAGCTCGTTTGGCTTTTGCCAACTTACGTCACCTTTGGCGAATGCGAGATATCTGTCTATCAATAAAAGGACGAGCATACTGCGCGGCAGTGAGTTCTGTTTTAATTTACAGCAGCAGAACATGGCTATTAAGAGTAGAGGACACTCGTAAGCTACTAGTATTTGACCACAGATGTCTTAGAAATATTGCTGGCATCTGCTGGGATGATTGGGTGAGTAGTAGTGAGGTTAGATGCAGGGTATTATAGAATGATGGTAAATCAGTTGTTGAGGTTGTGAATCTTCATCGACTGAAATGGTTTGGTCACGTGTTACGTGTGCCTGAACTCCGATTACCACGAAGTGCAATGTTAACCGGTGTTGGAGATAATTGGAAGAAAGTTAGGGGTGGTTAAACCAAAACGTGGTATCATTGCTTGAAGTCACTAACTTCTAGTCTGAGTCATGTTGGTAGATGCACACTACTTGGCTGTGACTATCGTAACCAATGGTTGGAGACTGTGTGACATGGCTCAGAATCGATTACAATGGCGTAGGTGTATACACTCTCTGTCTTCCCTTAAACTAAGAAATTACAATCACTTCATATCTTTCTTTCTACGAACTAACACTTTCTTCCTATACTATATCCTTATATGCAATCTTTCTTCTATATATTACCACCTTTGACCTAACCACTCCTATGAATCCGGTGTTCATCTTGTTGTGCTAATGAGGTATAGCAACCTGGACCGATGCACATGTGTGCCTGGTCCTACGTTGTAGCTGACTGACTGAGTCCTCATAACAACTGATAAAGTTTTTTCTGGTTTCTTTTTAGAAATTCATACCTACCTAATTTTTTTAAAATACTCTGTTGAACACTATTGTCTATCATACTAGTAGTAATTGCATGTCACCAAGTAAGTTTTAAATCCTATTTCCTAATATTTCACTACAGTCATGTCAAATTTTCTCTATGTGATCTGTATATTTGCTTTTACTTACGTCGTAGAAAGTTCTTGGAATGTAAGTTTATATTTCAGCATTTATTTATGATAAACATTCAGGTTACTATAAATCATAATCCAAATTGTAATCTCTCGAAAGGATGTGACAAATATGATGTGATATACATAAATGGTCGTAATTTAACATCTTCAGTACATGTGTTTATAACAGCATCAGAACGCTTTTCTCTTCCATCAATTTTGATTATTCACAGTTCATCAGCTGAAGCTAATCCTGTAATAGAATGGGAGAATTTAAATGTTTCTTCTGGAAAAAGATTAAATATCGGTAATGTGACCCAGTCATATGCTCTTGTATTTTATAAAGTAAGTTTGTACTTAATAAACTCGGTACTGTCAGATATATCCCTTACTATATATATATATATATATATATATATATATATATATAACATGTGCGAGCAGCCTAGAGTCCTGGTTGGTCCTGCTTTCCGCCTAGCCCAGCCAGCTAAGTCCAGAATACCAGTCTCAGCCTCCGCAATATGACCACAACGTACCAATAAAATATGAAAAAACATTTGTACAATAATTAGCTAGATGTGGCTGTGGATGAGGGAGGTGGTAATTAATATACTGGGCATAACTCAAGAATGGTCAAACGTATAATTATAATTTATAGGTCAAAATAAAGCTTATGATAAGAGGAATATGAATATGCATAGTTTAATTACGTAATAATTATACAATAGAAATATACGTTTCGTATTGGCCCATCAATAGATCCCACAAGTTACCATTCATTATTCTTGTCGGGACATAACACTTACTCAACCAGCTACGCTAGTGAAAGGGATTATACGTGACTAATAAGCTTTGATTGAGAAACTGAGTAATAAAGTACGCATATATTTGTCATTCTGACCTACACCAGAACATGTGGGCCGAAACCTTGACTGGGAACATAGTCAGTTTCCTTCACTAACATGGTCCACTTATAATTTGTCGCCCAACGCTTGACCTTGAGGTGACATCTAAGCACAGGCACATAATTTGCCTAAACTCTACATCCATATCACGAATGAAGTCATTATTGCCAGAGAAGACAAAGACAGACCCATTAATCAGACTCAATTTTATTCAGTACAAGTTTGTGTACTTGTTTTTAGCGTTTGTAGGAGTGCCTGTGGTATACTAATAATTGGCTGCTCAAACCGAAGTAGGTCGAGCGAAGTTCTAACGTCCCAGCCTATTGGTTGTGAAATACAAATGCTATAACCTCTAAGCAACCATTTGTTGCTGGGCTTTTATAAAGAATAATCATATAAGCTTTACAGTATTACAAATTATTCTGAACACGTTATGAAAAGGACCTCCACTTTCATTCGGAGATATAACGTTACATTTTTGCTTTTTATTTAAAAATCGACCAGATGTTTGAATATAATGATTTATCTGATGATGTAAACATGTCCATTTATCCTCAAAATTCTGATCAAATTCGAATCCACCATTTAAATGAATATAACTGGAAGCGTAATTCGAACAACGATAGTTCATCATTCTTTGAAAATAATTTATTTGAAATTACATACAATGGAAGTAGTCCAAAATTGACTTCATCATACGAGCAGGTTATTATTAAGGTAAGTTCTTTAATATGTACAAAATATTTGTCTTTACGTAAATTGTGTTCAGGCTGTTGTATTGATTATTGTATTTGGGGTCTATGTATGGCATATGTACATTTTATCAGTTTATGGGGTTATGAACCGTTATTGGTTATAATCATCTGTCATAACTTTGTGTATCAACCACGTCTTAAATAAATACTGGGCGCAAGAAAAATCAACGAGACAAAACACAAAAGGGATGAATTAATTTCAATTATAGAGCATATTATGCAGCTTCAAATAACGTAGAACCTGACACTTGTGTATCAACTCAAGTTGCTACACCATATCAGCACAGTGAGATGAAATTATGAAGACAAATGTTGGAGCAGTAGGAATAGTAACTGTAGTGATGATAGTAAAGAAACATTAGTTATAGACATCATACTTCAAGAAGAAAACATGAATTCCCAGGATATGAAACAATAGGATAGTTTCGAAACTGAAGACACAAGGATAGACAAGTGGTGAATGCATTTAAGCCATGCTATCTAACATCTTCAACCATAGGTTAATCACATAGATTCCAACTAGATAATCTGTATCTATCTATACAGTTCAGATTAGTAGTCAGTAACTGCATGGATTGATGTCACATTCTAGTTTGGCTGCTCTTAGCTTTCTTCCAACCGAGTTTTCACAATTATTTCTATATTAATTTCCATTAAAAAAACTTGTTATTATTTCAGGTAGAATTTATTTTGTTTTGTTTTCTAATTTTAGTTTCGAATAAGTAATACAACTCAACATCATAAAGATATGCCACATTTATTATTTAAACCTGGTTGGATTATTCAATTTGATATTTTATTCAATAATTTAACTAGTAATTTTAATCAAAGTCGATTTGGTTTACAATTAATGATGATGTCAAATTTAACCTTGGATCCAACTGAAGAATTTCGTAAAGAAGTTTTATTCAGTATTGACGATGAATTAACACCTGGAAATTTTGAGGTAAAATTTTTGTTTTTCTGAAACGAAAACAACAACGTGTAAAAAAATGTTCCTGTCAGAAAGTAGAATGAATTTTATTTTGTACACATTAGTGACTAATTTTATGGGGTAATTTCTGGTGTTCTAGTAACGAAAAGGTTTGACTGGTGGAGTTCAGCTATATGTAGTGTGAGACAGTTGGTTTACTCACCAATCACATTGGAAGATGATTGCGCTATTTCACGGATTGATTAAAGTTAAAAATGTAAACCATTGAACGATGGGTCATTTATCTGGAGGTTTAGTGTTCACCTAGAGACTTAATGAAGGTCGTGGGTTCGTTTCCTCGTGGTGTCATGAATGGTAATCTCTCATGCTAAGACAATATGGCTGTTCATTTCTTCCTGGTTTAAATTATTTATCTACTTGGAGTTAGTCTGTCATGTAAACTATAGACATTCATATTTATGTTTTTGGTTGAGTTTCGTTCTCTAATCTGGGTAGTTTTGTTGTGAGGTTTTCATTGTTCTTCTGAATAAAATCAGCGAAAACTTCAGATAGAGGTGAAGTGTTTGAATTTCCACACAAATAATAAACAACTTATCCTTGTCATCCACCTAGGCTACAAAATTTCCCCGTCATCTTATATTTGTCTTTGTGTGTTTGTGAAACTTAGTTATCAGACGTAAGATAAGCAAATCAATTCAGTATTTTAATCCTATAAAAGTGTTCTAGTCCAAGGGAATATGTTATGTAGCAAAAAAGCAATAACAATCATCTTACTTAGCGTTACTTAGTTAATGAAGTGTGGAATTTTCACCAGACAATATTTCGACAAGTTCGTCTGACTTTATATGTATATATATACATAATAGAATTAAAGCCTTTATCAGTATGGGGTTGTGGAGATTATAATGTTATTGATTGAGATTTTGAACCGACTGATGTCAGACCACCGTTGAAAACGTGGAGGCTCTGGACGGCCGTTTCGTCCTATTGTGGGGCTGCTCAGCAGTAAGCGTACACGATCCCGCTCGCTGGATTCAAACCCAGGGCCTTCAGTCTCGCGTGCGGACGCTCAACCTACCAAACCATTGACGAATGATGGTGAGCGACCTATGCTCCTTCACGAGGAGTAACAGGCGTAAGTAAGTTAGCGTTTGAATATTAAGCAATTTATTGTTATCAGTAAATTTAAGATTGCTATCATACGTCTAAATAGTTCTTTGTATATATATCCATCTTTTCTTAAATACTAGATGACCAATATTTTATTAGGTGAATCAGTATCTAAAATGAATAATAATGCTGAACAATATTCAAGTAATTCAACTCATCCATCAGCATTTCTTCAAATCAAACCAGCTTGTTTCATTGATAATCATTTGCGAACAGTTCAAAATAGTCGTAATGTTTATATTGGTAAACATCAAGATTTATTAGAGAATAATAAAATCGGAAATGATAATTTATCTCAATTTCATTTACTTCATTATTCATTTCCATCAATATTTTATGCGAATAGATTAAATCCTAATAGTAACAATGATACTAACCTGAAACCTATTGGTATTCGTTTATTAAATGTATCATTTGGTACATCGACTGATGGATTTTATGCTAAATCAAAATTTCTTGTTTGGTAAGTTGATCTTATTTTGATTATTGTCTGTTTGTTTGTTATCGTTGTTATTGAGTTTTCTCTTTGTTCTTTTTTCTTTTTCCTTTAATATTCAGTTATTCATTGGTAATCAAATTTAAAGCCTGGAATAAGCGTATTTTATTTCAAGTTGTCATGACTAGTTAAAATGAACAGGAAGTATAATAATTATTATGAAATATTCGTCTATCAATTAAGGGACGAGTATACTGTGTGGCAGTTCGTTCTGTTTTATTTTACGGCTGCGAAACATGGCCATTCAAAGTTGAAGATACTCATAAGCTACTAGTATTTGACCACAGATGTCTTAGAGATATTGCTCGCATCTGCTGGGATCATTGGGTGAGTAATAGTGAGGTTAGATGCAGGTTATTATAGAATGATGGTAAATCAGTTGATGAGGTTGTGAATCATCACCGACTGAGATGGTTGGGTCACCTGTTACGTATGCCTGAACACCGAGTACCAAGACGCGCAATGCTGACTAGTGTTGGGCATGGTTGGAAGAAAGTTAGGGGTTGCCAAACCAAAACGTGGTATCATTGCTTGAAGTCACTAACTTCTAGTCTGAGCGATGTTGGTAGATACAGAATACTTGGTTGTGGTCCGTGTGACTATCGTAACCAATGGTTGGAGACTCTTATTGACATGGTCCAGGATCGATCACAATGGTCAAATGTTGGAACTGTTACGCTACACTGATGTATGCCTAGAAGACGTTTACTTAGTAAAATTTCAACTGACTAACTAGCTATATCTTGTTTACAAACTATTTCACATTGTTAAGCCTGAGCTATTTTTTAGTTTTCTGATAATACAATGCATTACACCTAGTTTTTATAATACATCATTTGAACAGTATTAGTACACATATTTATCTATAAAACTGATCAATAACTGTAGGCTTTTAACCTTTGTTACAGTGCTGCTATATATATATATATATATATATATATATATATATATATATATATATATATATATATATATATATATATCAGTAATTGACAACACATGTTTATATTTTCAATAATAATCAAAGTTCACCATACATTCCATTGCACACGAACTGACACCTTAGATATTCCGTTACTAAACAATCTCATCATATTTTCGTGTGACTAGGTGTAATCAGAATGAATGTATAGAATATATTGAGGGGCGATCAGTGTGATGCGTTGTGAGAATCATATGCATCATGGGCTGATCCTTGATCATCATTGAATGTTGAGAAATACTAAATAGTAGTTTAAGATCCCTCAGCAATGGGGATTCATGACCCTTTGGAGAATTATTATGAAGTCAGGATTTTTTCGGTGTTTACAGTCTTGAATGCTTGAGATGTGATTCTATCACTCCAAATGCAGAATGTTGCTTCAGGGCAACTGCCTTAGCGTCTAAATTAATAACAGGGATTGAAGTAGTCGATTGCATCAACCAGTCAGCTACAACCTTGGACCAAGCAACAACCACTTCACTTAGGGTCTCATCAGCAGTGATTAGTCGGTGTCTGGGAAAGGTTCGGCACGGAATCAGGAAGTTCGACTGACCTTTCCTGACTTGGATCGCTTGTGGCGTAGGCAGGATACCCGTAGGCAAACCAAAGGATGAGATAATTATATATTAGTTCGCTTCGTTCTACTTTATGGGTGTGAAACACGGTTTTTAATACAGAATATTTATAGGTTACTATTTATTAGTCGTGTCTTTGGAGTATTGCTTGTGTAGTTTTGAACCATAGAGTGATGAATACACAGGATATTAGGGAAGGATGTCAAATTGACTGGTTAGTTAGTGGATCTTCGTCAACCGAGGCGGTTGGAACATGTATTACGTATTGCTAATCAAAACATACTCCTTAGGAACTGAGTCCCGAAACCCTATATCTGTTTCTTTATTTTATACCTGGTTTTCCTTACCACTACTGACACTACTACTTTCGTAAACGCCCTGAAATAATTTTATCGCACTTTGTGGTATGGCAACTTGGACCGATGCACATGTGTCACGAACTACATTGCGTATGATCGACTGATTTAGTGTCAAATGAATTATGTTTGTTGATTATTCTGAGCCATAATGTATTGAGTTCTTGCCGCCCGGTGTCCTTCGGACACTATACTTCAACCGCTTTCTGAATTAGATCATGAATTAAAAGTAAGCAATGTATATTCCAATAAATTCAAATAATACAATATACCATAATGATGGCATTACTGTTCATACAAGGATCTCCTAGCATTTTTCCGACTCGTCCACTAGCGCTGATTCACCGAAAAATCGAACAATCAATGTGTTATGATTCGAGCCTGGTTAGGACATTTAATAGTCAGAACATTGTCAGTCTAACATATTGTTCGGTATTGTCATTGAAATATCTCGTGTTGCAGTGACTAGATTTAGTCAACAATAAATAACTTAAATTTCAAATGAATATTTAGTTGTTCATTGTACTGTACCTGTCATTCATATCTGTTTTCTGTTTATACAATACTATTTTGTGATGAAAATTGCTGCTTGATTTGTAACAAATGATGTATATCACTTATATAAGGGTTTCGTAGAGATGGCTGAATTTCTATGGTGTGCATGTCGTGTTTAGTGGTAACTAGTTTTGAGATTTCTAAAGAAACGTTATAACCAGTGGAGTTCAGCCACATCATGTGTGAAGCATTGACCCACCAGTGGTACTGGAAAAGTTTTGCAGTATCGCGAATTGATTGGAGTTAGAAATGTAAATCATTAGATGCCAACTCAGTGTTCTTAGTGTTAAACTCATATCCTAAGACCTGATGGTCCCAGGCTTGGTCTTCTTTGGCGAGGACGCCACTGCTGAGTAGCTCCATACTAAAACGAAGCAACTGTCTAGTGTCTCCTGGTTCTCAGTGATGGTCTAAGGTCGGTCTGTGATGCAGGCTATAAAATCATTTATGATCATCCATATCCATCCAAGTTGAATTTTCAGAAATAAATTGATAACTGTATCATAAGATTACCTCGTCTCAACTGACTGCTTTCTATGCTTAATATTTAATCCTTCCAGGTTGCTTTAACAAGCAGAATGGTTTGTTATTGAAACAATATCATTCTGATATTTGTATTTTTTCAGTCTTTAATAAATTACATTAGAAAATAATCATTTATCACATTACATATGACATAACTAATCCTATAACTAATCATAATGTACAATATAATACAACTAACTTATTCACCAAGTACTTGGATGTAAGTTACGGTTTAAGTGTAAGAGCTAATAATAGCAACCGGTTGTTCAACTCAAAATGCGTTTCGAACCTAAGGCCTAGTGGCAAGAAGTTGAACGTTTTAATCACCCAACTCTCGCTTCACGTTCATGATTGCTTAAAACAATTAGAAGTTCTGTTGTGACTGAACTTAGATCGATTTTTACCCCGTGCCAATTGTTGTGTCCTTGACTGGAAGATTAGAGAGCAGCGTATTTATCGATCGATTCAATGACACGTAAACACGCACGGACGGCCTAGAGTCTCGATTGGACCTGCTTCCCTGTCTAGCCCAGTCAGTTGAGTCCAGAACACAAGTCACAGCCTCGGAGATATGAATCGTTATATTTCAAACATACTCTGTTTATATACCAACCAAACATGCCACATCGTACCATAAAATAGAAAACGACATCTGTACAATTATAAATAACGGCCAATAGGGAATATCCATTTAGAGTCCAAGGACGCCATTAGACTTAACATGATAATTATTGGCACATTCCTCTGCATCCCCAACAAGTTCCTACTCTGATGTAATTCGTTGGTACACTATATAGTTGCTCTGAATGAAAATAGTTGCTTTCATCAGTAATAAAACGCAAATTTATCATGATGAGTGCACATCTTGCGAACTGTCTAGAATATATATATAACTCCACTAAAACGGAAGATAGGAATGGGATTGAATGAAATACAGTTACATTTATATTTACCAGTCTCGTAGTCTGAATAAGGACATAAAGCATACGATCACTTAACTAATATGGATCTAATCCGATTAAGAAGACAGTTACTTTGTTTTACTACACGTTAGATATGAGGTGAAACCAGTTAGAAAATCGCCATATGACATAAAACATTTGTCTTTGGTCCTACATTACAAATCCCCAACAGTGTGTACTTGCAATCCTACAAACGACCAAATTCCGAAGAACATTTATGTCTAGTAATCGGAACGTCTCCAGATTATGATCTCTTGGACTCCTAAGCCGCTGAGAAAAATCCATATCGTCTCAATGGTATCTTTGGTTAATCATCTTTTATTTGGAGAGCGAAAACTATCGTGGATTAACGTTTGATGTGAATAGGTAGGATAATCTAGTTAGTTACTAGACCGGAACTCGCATATTTACAACCAGTGCTTAATATCCAAGCCCATTGTATTGATTCAAGTCATATACTGACACGGTAGATCCCTAAAGAGTTTAAATAAACACTGTAAAAGTCAGTGTTCACTTTGTCCTTCTCGCGTACTCATTGAATAAATCATGCATTCTATATTTCAAAGTTTCATTATTAATTGCAAATATTTAAACCCAGTACATTCCTTGCTTTCCCAAGGACTGCGTCGTTTGGTCTTGGCAACCCGCCTACTGATAATCTATCTTCTTTATTGATTGGATTAATTATATTCTCGATGCTAATCATTGTTAGCTCTGTAGTTTTAGGCATTCTACTTGTCATTGTTTTACGTCGAAGCACTACTATTATCAATAATGACAGACAACCGATTCTTAGTCATTTTGTTAATGATCCTATCGCTTAAATTGAATTTTTGCCCTTTTATATATTTTGTCCAAATTTTCGTTATTCCTTGAGGAGAGACAGGGTGAGGTAAACAAGAACCTGGGAAAAGAACCACAAATCCCATGAATCGTTAATTATTATTTTATGATTTTTTTCATTGTTGATTGTATTCTCTTGTATTAATTCATTTGTGCCTTTATAATATGCGGAAATCCACATTTAATATATATATACTTCTGTGATTTGCATTGAGAAAATATTGATTACACTGTTCTGTGTTAGCTGGATAATTGTGGCCGAGAAATGGGTTATACAAAAAAATTAACCAAAATCAGGTAGAATGAAAGAGGGGTCAACAATTTCCTTCTTAACTCTGTACAATCACAAATATGGGTATGAATTTAAGGGAAAACAGATTAAATCAACAAATGGAATAGGACTGTTATCAAGGTTTATGAATACATCCGCTCTACTGGGACTATCTCCAATCATTGATTATTACTACCACGCAGACTCAAGGGAGAAATTCTGACTCTTCCAGGAAAGGCTACGACTAACGACTAGTGGTTTCATGGTCTGGTATTATACTTAGAATGCCTACCCTTAGCTTTTCTTCAAGCCACTGATGGAGGTTAGTGGATGATATAGATTTCAGTAACCACAGTCGATCAACATTATTCTATAAACGGACTCGCCATTTCTATGCAGTACTCTACATTTAACTCTAGGGACTACTACAATTGCTAAGTCGTTCATCAATAAAAGGCAAAACAAGCATGACTTCGGCCAATCTTCAACGACTGACCAGATGTAAATATCTCAAACTCACACGAGGTTAGTCGCTGCTTAAATGGCTTAGTGGTAACGCTTTGAATAGTGATGTGGTTTTGAATTCGATACGGAGAATCCGTCTTCAAGATTATAGGCACGCTTTGTTGAGTAATCTCAGTCAGCACGAAACATAGGCCGACGCCGTCCCCAATCGATCACCTCCATGATAATAATTTGAAGTTTCCTCACATATTCAAAGCAAAAATAGATTATGTGAGTGAGTGTTGGTTCTATATGATAGATATCCTTATTCTAGTAGGATCGTTAAATTATTATTCAAGATGCAAACCCACAAAAATCAAGTTATGGATTATATGCAAAATAAAGAATTAATGATTTAATCTAGCACCAGAGAAGTGTTCCATACTAGCACACAATCGCTTTTGAGTCAAAATAACTTATATGCAGATATGTAATACCACTTTAGCTGTTAAAGTCAAATTAGGTGTAGGTTTTTCCAGTAGAAAATCCGAAAGTCTAATGACTAGTGAGCAACCATTCATCTAATCATTGTAGCTAAGTTTATCTGTAATATTCTTTTAAAGTGTGGTGTGATTTTTAAAATAAAAAGTGATAATATCTAAGCGTATAGCTTGCTATTTGGATTAGAGATTACTCCTAGAAGCAAACTAGTTTCAAGGATAATAATACTCAATCCTGTCAGTCAATATATGGGACCAGATCACTACAGCTCTTGTGTAAAATATTAGATATATGTAAACTGTTATACTCAAGTTCAAAACAGGGACAAAATGTAGTTCATTTGCTGCTCGAATTAGTTATGTAATGATTCATGGTTTAGCTTATTTCATTTCAGTAAACGGAATGCACCGACTAAGACACTAAACAAGGAAAATTGTTTAGGTGAATTCATTTTTAAAGCTGTGCAATCGCAAATGTATATACTTATTTTGCAGGATAATAATTACAATAATAAACTTCTGTTAGACATTACGACAGTGAAGCAGAATAAACAAAGCTATTAGAAAAAAGATTTTCTTTTTGAAACAAGGAAACTAGTAGTCGTTTGATTGCTAATGGCTTATATATTCATCAAAAGATAGGGAAATTATCATTGGGAAAAGGATGGCTCAACGTGATAAGATAAAACGTTGAAATCGGGATTAAATATAATCAGGAGGTTCAGAGAATCAGAAGTAAACCAGTTGGGGGTAGGAGGTTTAAGGAAATGGAAGCAGATAGCTATAAAGGGAGAGTATGAAGAAAAGAAGTCATGATAACTTTGTCACAATAGCAAAGACTAGTTGCCATTCAGATGCGTAGTAATTAAGTATTATGGTAGCTATCCCGACCGGGATAAGTTATATCTTGATGTGTATGTTTGGTTTGTCTGTCATGATGATCCAGTCGAGTTGGGACACATCCCTTCAGGTTCTACCACGTTAGATGTTTTTTGAATAGTACTATCAAGACCAGCAACTTAAGGTCTGAGGGTGAAGCTATACCATTGACCTTACAGTGTTATAACGGCAGTAAGATGTCCCCTCAAAATAACTAGCAACTGCAGCGATCCTCCCTTCTTACAACAAAAGGAAGGATTAGGAATAGGTCGGTCGTAAAAATTACACACCTCAACCCAAAGATTCCCGTTTCCAGCGACAAATATGGAGCTAACGCATCAGATTCCTCATGAAATATTCTTTTGAGGATGGGGTAAGCCGTAAGTGATAATCTCCCCCCATGTCTTTAGCAACTCTTATCATACTGACTGTGGTAACTAATTGCCGGATTTATTTAAACCTAACTATCAGTGTCTATGCACTTGAGTGTAGTAGATGACTTACCCATCTATTTATTAAATATTAATTGAACTCAACTGTCTTTATCACATATTTGCGCTCGTTTTCTTACTGAGCTGAGGTTTCCCATGGTAGTTCCTAGAACATAGTGCCAGTCTCCTCAGCTGCATTGTCTTGTTGCTGCCTGCATGCTTCTTCATAGATCGATTTAAGCCAAGCTAATAATAAATTGTCGTTGAGGTTCGTGAAAATCATAGTAAATCGAGCACCATGTTTCCATGAACAAAATTTCAGCATAACGAGTTATGAGTTAATTTACACCTGAAATATGCACCAGAGGTGTATAATCGCGGTCACGTTGCTTAACTAATGATCGTATGCTAAGATTTGTTGTATGTAGAAAGGTTTATGACAAAGTAGATGTAGGATTACTTGACCATATCTGTAGTCCCATGCAAAATAGCCTTTTATTAGTGCTCATTTACAAACCCTCTACTTTAGACACGAAAGCTGCATTCTTAGAATAAGTTGTACAACTCTCTGCCAATAATCAGAAATAATCCTTGATATTGACGCACAAGTTTCTTAAATGATCAACAAAGCACTTATGAAGCTTCTTTCTAGGGACATTGTAACAGCAACAGGTACTGCTACTGAACAGTTATACTCAGTAATTCATAACGGCTGTTAGGAAAGTCGTGATTGCATTTATAAGGACATTTTCCAGTTGACATTACTTAGTATTCCGGTCTTTTAATTCCCTATAGAAGTGTAACTTCAAGTCAGAAGCATACGACTGGATAGGCATTTTTAGTAAAGTATATGACTAAACTAGCGTACTTAGTCAGATCCTGCCAACAGAATCTAGCACTTGTCATTACCCTTACTAGCAATATCGATTGTAGCGGATGGTATGAGCACCGAAATCCATAATTATCACCGGCGGATGTACTTTCGTGTCGACTATTTTAGCGCTAATTTGAGGGCAGTTAAGTCATCTACTAATTTGCTTTCCTTTGTAAAACCCCAAACTCTTTTGTACCACAGTTTATTCAATGACCAGTCATTCAGACTCAGCGTAGGACCCGAGGTATATGGGCTGGTAATCATTTATGGACTGAACAATTAACCTGGGGTTGGAATGTTGTGAAATACCAATATTTAACTACTAGTACAACTGACTAAGTCACTTTAGAGTAGAATACCAATTTTATCTGCTTCTGAAAGATATACGGAAACACCACAAGTTATGAATAAACTTACATTCCTATGGACCTGCTGCATTCACGTTTGTGAAATATTGCCACAAGATCTCAGCTTTTTTGGGTTAGGGAAGAATGGTACTTGTACACTTCATCACGATCCTTCTTTAGAACCTCAGATACTAAATTACTTGCAATTCTTTGCTTGATTATTTTATTAATTCGTATTTTCTCGAATCATATCTAGTGTCCAATATCATCTTGGAGAAATCCTGGCGTTCCCCCCAAACTATGGGGAAAACCCCTAAATTGTTAGATGATTTTGTGGAAATATACGGGATTTTTCCCAGACCTGAGATTTTGGGTTTCGTGCCATTTTCCCAAAATTTACCGAAACCTGACAAAACTTTTCCAAAATAGGGAGATCAGGTGCCAAGGCTTTTCTACTGTCATCAATGCCGTTACTAATTTGCTACTCTGGGATTTCCCTGGTAATTCCATCTTACTGTGCTAGTGGAGTATGGGGCTTGAACTGATTTACGCGTGTCAGGTCCCATGTTGTATCTGACCAATTACCGGGTACACACAAATTTGATTTTTAAAACATGAAAGCGTACCGACATAAGATATCGACCTATAGAATAGAGCCTATACACTTAAAATCTACTCATATACTTTGAATGTCGTAATGAAAGCTGAACAAACTACATCGGTAACTTCAAGAATACACTACAGCGACACATATGGAGACCATTCAGTACTAGTCATAATAGATCTCAACCCCAGTACGACTTAAAGACTGGTTATTTTCGCAAGGTCTAAAATGTAATATCAGAACAGGCTTGTAATTAAGAACGAAATAATTCACAAGTCAGTTAGTTGTTTCAAAAAAGTATCCGTTTGCTAATATTTTTCAATAACCATGCTACCTCTATTTTTTGAAAAAACAAGGAATACGTCTTCCGAAACTAACACAAGATACAATTCAGGATGATACAGCTAGCCTATATCTTGTATGGAAACATATTGTTTTCTACTTCTTTTTCCCACTTCTCGATCTGATGGAAGTGATTTGAATAGATCAAGATTAAACATACCCATGATGATGGACAAAGTAATTGTGCCGTACGCTTAAAGTAATTGCAAGCCTTGTATTCCTCTCCATATACTCGCTTACAACGCTGAAAATCTACAAAGTTTTGCACACATTTACTTTGGTACGTTAG